GTCGTTGTAACTCAAGAATGGACTTTTCTGAAGCTTCTGGATGTCTGTCTCTTCAATCACTGGCTTGTGTTCCACTTTCTGCTTTCCTTCTTTGCGGTTGACCTTTAGCTTACTCTCYAACATTTTGTTGGACCTTGCGAACCGAGGRTTGTYGGCAATCTTGATGTGTCGATCGTGAGAAACCAAGTACCTTTCCACAGCACTTCTAAAGCCCAGGAGTGAGGAACGACTATACTCTTCACCGTTCTTTGTTCTGGCTTCTGCATAAAACCGTCTGAGGGTAGAATCGATTTGTTCGTCGCTCATCAAGGCTAAACGGGACGGGGCGACACCGCGAAGTCGACACCATTCTTCAGAAGAAAAAAAAAACAAAAAAAACAAAAAAAACAAATGCAAAAAAAACGAGTGAGTAAAATACTATAAATTGTCGCACGATCAAACAAAGAAATTACCTTCAATTGTTGACACTATCCATTTAGTGTTTCTTTTTGTTCCCTTCGCCTCTGCATTTGTAATTATCTCTCCTAAATCTTTTTCGTTCAGTGTTGCGAAACGAGCAGCAGATTTTGCGGAGTCAGGATTCACTTCAGGTTGAACACTTTCGATTTTTTCCACTTCGTTGAGCAGTTCGTCGTCATTTAGTGTGTTTGCATTAAAAAAGTCTAAGTTAAACGTGGGAAATGCGGGAAAATCCATGTTTTCCTAGTGAAAAAATTTTTCCACAAAGAAAAAACACGCACTCTCGAGAAAGTACGCGTCATTGCCATTGTCTAAACTCTCAGTGACAATAGCTCTCGACCAATCAGCGCGCGAGAAATCTACAAGTTATTATAAAAAGTAGATTCGAACCCACAACCTTAGCTTTGAAAATCCTATATCTAATTAACAATTCGCAGGCGGTTTTCCATTGTCTGAACTCTTATTGACAATGAAATTGACGTCAAAATGCTCAAAACTTAAGTGCAACCACGAGCGTAAGCGAGTGGTTTCACTGCAAGTTTTGAGCATTTTTGACGTCAATTTCATTGTCAATAAGAGTGCAGACAATGGAAAACCGCCTGCGAATTGTTTTTTACCATAAAAAAGCTGAAAACAAAGTAAAACTTTAAAAACAAAACCGTTTCTAGCGCGCGCCGGCTCCGTGCGCGAGCGATTCGTCATTTCATCCGTCTGTCCTAGGATTGACAACGACCCTCGACCAATCAGCGCGCGAGAATTCTACAAGTTATGGTAAAACACGTTATGCTAACTGACTAATTGATGTCAGTTATGGAATAAAACAGTTATTTTACATTGTCCAGTTACTTGTAACAAAAGGTATATTGCTAGCATTGGTCTCATGGGACTAACGAGAAAAATGGTTATGCAAATTTCCCGTTGGGAATACTCCGATTTCGAGTTCTGGTTTGCCCAAAACCACGCAAAATGTTATTTTGTTTAATTGATAGCCCGAGAAAACGCATGGAATTTGAAAAGAAAGACAATAGAATTGATTTGAAATCTCACACTTTTATTCTCACAATTAGGAATATTTTGCGCACAAATGAGGCAATCACAGAGCATTGGAGAATTGGAAACTGGATTATTGTCAATACTGTAAATTTCGTAACCTTTTAATTCATATGAAAACGGCTTCTTTGCCTATTTAAAAATGAAAATATTAATGCAGTGCTTGGAAAACTTCTTCAAGTATGAAATAAGCCAGATAAATACCTCGAACGTTGGCAATTAATTAGCCTATAAAGCCCTCGGGGCCCCCTCGTGCTGTATATGGCTTATTGCCTCCGTTCTCGGTATTTATCTCTTACATATAGACATCTAGACATATAGACTATAGACAAATAGATAACCATTAAAATTAACATCAAAAAACTTGTTTTCGTGATGAATATGTTTATACCTATCAATCGGATACAATTCTACTCTAGAATAGACTATTAGTATTGATCTATTCGAACTACACTACTAACTATTAAAGACTTATTGTGCTTTCATGGTTGACGGAAAACCACTCTATGAATTTGTACTTGCCACTCAAACATACCAGCTGCTCTTTATTAATTTGTATTAAGTTCCTCTATCTAGCACCGAATCTGTCAAAGTGTTCATTGCTTGGTAGAAAAAAATTAACTCACTCATTAAATGGAATGGGCATGGGGATTCAAAACAAATAAAATAAATAAATAAATCTAGCGCTGTTACGACATGTTTTACTGACCAGAATATATTTACCAACAAAGCCAACTGACGACCATTCTCAAAAGCAATATGAAAAGGATTCCGAAGAGCTAATCACAATTCAGTTGAAACAATATGCAAGAACCCAGCTCCTGAGCACAAAGCTCCATTGTCAAGAATTTCACCTAGATATATAATCAGTTTTTTTTGAAAAAGAGTGTAGATAATCACTTAATCATCTTCGAATTCAAAGCGAATAATACAAATTTTCAAGTCCATTGTGATAACGACATTCTCGTGCCCTCTTTTGTGTTTGGTCAGGTCTTTGAGCAAGAGAATCTGTTGTCAAATAAAGCAGCGGTGTTTCGCTATAAATTCGAAACTCGAGTACTCAGTGTCCCCTTGGGCCTAAATCCAGTACAGGGCTTGCTCTCTCTTTCCCTCTCTCTCTCCTATCGCTGTCGTTGATATTTCTGTGTTATTGTTATTGTGTTTGTTAGGTTGTGATATAAACCCTTGTCAAAATGGAGGATCGTGTAGAAATGTTTCAGGAGACTATAATTGTACGTGTAACAAAAGCTGGCAAGGAAAACACTGCGAACAAGGTATCTCCGATATTGATATAGTGAGGGGTAGGGTAAGGGGTGCGTAGCGAGGATCAATTTTCACTCGACAGCGACAAGAGTGCAAAACTCAAATTGAATCATAATTCTATGGACGTTTTACTCCTTTAAAAATAGAAAAATCTCTAAAGATATATAAGGATAAATTCTTTAAACGGCGAATTTTATTGTTTCATCACGTTGACAGGAGAGACCCGCATGCATTTGCAGAGCTGCTAGCCCTCAGATGAAAAAATAATGACTACGCCTACTTATCAGGAGGAGTCAACGGGATCTGTTCTTCTAATAACTGTTCTTGTACGAATTTTTTCCTGGGAAAGAGATTTTGAGCTACATTGTTGTAATCTCACAATCAAATGTGGCGCCCTTCCTTCTTTGAAATAATTTTGTTCGATCCTGCCAAACGTTTTTATCGTCAAAAAGGCTTATATAACCTCTTTTTGGTCAAAAAGAGCTTATATTTTTGTTAGTTAATTAGGAAATTTTTATTTTCCTGGGAAAAATTCTTAGAAAATATTCTTTGCCTGCAGACTTCCTTTTTCCTGAATTTCTCGCTGGCAAACAGTTGTGACTTACAGCTGGCTGGGACATAAGAACAAATATATTTCTCCCAGGAGCCCGTCGATGGTGGGCAGTCTATTTTTGGTCTCGTCGTAGAGTAGGGGTGGGGGCGAGAGGTGGGTGAAGGTACGTTTCTCGACTCGCAGCTACAAATTTTCCTTTTTCACGACTCATGGTTACATTTTTTTAATCAAGTTTTAATGAAGCATTTTCGATCTTTATTGTTATCATCCTAAGCATTGCTAACTATTTTAGTATTTACTTTCATATTTTCATTTTKACATTATCATTTKTTACCTTCTAAGATGTGGACGAATGTCTAACCAGCCCATGCAARAACCAAGGAATGTGTCTTAATTCTCCAGGAAGTTACATGTGTGGCTGCATATCAGGCTGGAAGGGCCATAATTGTGATCAAGGTATACTAGTCTTTGTAAATCGATGAGCGTTTTTATTCGTCTTTTACTGGGAACGATACCACTTGGAATAGCGCTAGACTAATAACAGCTTCCTCCTTTACACATATATGCATTAGAACTTTACTTATTCCAGCACAATTCACTCCTCAATTTTGCTAGCTTAAATGAGGAACAAAAGCCAACTGGTGACGGATCTGAAAATCAAAATATCCTAGCAATGGGTTTAAAAACAGATCGCAAACCTGAAAATGTATTTATGGTTCTTCAGATTTAAAATAGGTTAGAAATCACAGATACTTGCATGAAATGTCGAGTCGAGCATCAAACCGTTTCGACATTTTAAAAATGAAACAGAAGAGCAGATATTTGTTCATAAGCATGTCCATTTTATCACTTTCATCTATTTGCCTTTACTGCCCTTCCCACGTTTTCTCTCCAATCACAACAAGCGGGTTAGAGTGGATACTCTGTTACTTCTCTAAGCGGACATTTACAAGGCACTTGCTGCTGCCCAGTATTTGCCAAAAGAATAATTGCCAATTGACATCTTGACAAATAAAAATCATTATGGATTTTAGATGTGGACGAATGTCTAACCAGACCATGCAAGAACGAAGGAAAGTGTCTTAATTTTCCAGGAAGCTACATTTGTCGCTGCATGCCAGGCTGGAAGGGCCATAATTGTGATCAAGGTACGGTATGGGTCTCCTCGTAGAGGGGAGGGGGGTGGGGGATGGGGGGAAACATACAAATTGTGTGCTGTTCGTTCGCTTGTGAAGACTGACTAAATTATTACAAATCACTTTAAATATACTAAATTTTACTACATTTCCCGTGAGACCTATAAACAAAACTAAAGTAAAACTAAAAGTTCATTATTCGTAACAGTTAGTATATACTTTAGATGTAGATGAATGTTCGACCTACCCTGGAATATGTCAGAACCACGAAGAGTGTTATAATATTCCTGGAAGCTTCATATGTCGCTGTCATTTAGGATGGAAGGCTCAAACTTGTCCACGAGGTACAATTTGTAATAGTAAATTTTCCTTTTGTTTGGTAAGGGCATTACCAAAAACAATAATTATAATCAGGAGGGAGCACATAGTAAAACTATCGACAAATCATATCTATCATTTCTTTTTGTTGCTTCCACGTACGTACCAAATTAACCAAACAAATCTACAGTGGTAACGTCAGATATACTGTTTAGTTTTTGCATTTATTTTTGTAATTGGAGATCTCTTTATATACTAGCAAGACTGAAACGACTTTTTCAGTTTGATGTTTTTTTTATAAAATATCGATTGTGATCAGTCAAAACTGAACTTCAGGAAAATTTCAAACCCTTATTTTTGCAAAATCGCTAGTTTTTTTATAAGACGATGATTCACTTCACTGCGATATATATCTTTACTAGAATAATATAAACAAATTGTTATTATTTTTTTATTAAATCCCTAACGCAAAAGCCATTATTTATGGATCAAGTATTCCTGGACAAGGTTATGTTTATTATATGCTGCCAAGAACCCCTTATTTTCAAACAAAGAAAAGACAAGTACTGCAGATTTTAAAGGAGCGAATGACATGGACTGACTTTCAAAAAACTGCAAAGGTTGCTTGTAAAACAGCAGGGTACATTGGACCGTTTTCGCCTTCTCTACCAGGTTATTTCGATAAGAATGCACTTGGCCACTCAGCTTATATGTTGATCCGATCGGGCGGATGCAGTGGCGATGAAACGTCATTGATCGCTTGTTCCTATACCCTTCTCGTCACTCATAGGTTTTCGAAGTACAGGTTGAAGGTGAATTGTTTACCACCGAGTAAGTATGATCTTGCAATTACAAAAAAGTATATATTGCCGATAAGAATAATGGTCATGCATGTCTAAATAAATCATATTTAACAATAGAAACCATGATTTGTTTCACTTTATCAAATAGATCGCAGCCACATGCACGGAGTTTCCTATAACCTTTGGAAAGGCAAACTCTTGCCTAGTGACGTTTCCAGTTGGAAACTTGCTTCAATATATCAAAATAAGCCCATGGCTTCCCACATCCTGCCCTCATTCGATGTTAATTTCAGAGTGTACCCTTATCTATGTATCAAACTATCTGGATACTTGATGGTAAGTACTATAATTGTAAACAGCTCGACCAGGGTGTGGTTGGTTTTCGTGACGTTCTAGAACTTATTAGTAATTCATGGGCTGTTTGTCCAATGAGCATCGAACTATTGGGTCAAATGAGTAAGAGTTACATACCGAGAACGGAGGCAATCAGCCTAATACATCCCGAGCGACTCGTGCGATATCGTTTTTCTCGTGAAATTCATTGCGGAATTCCTCGCGACTCGTGCGATATCGTTTTTCTCGTGAAATTCATTGCGGAATTCCTCGCGACTCGTGCGATATCGTTTTTCTCGTGAAATTCATTGCGGAATTCCCTCGTCATCCAATGAATTTTCCTATAGTATTCAAGGGCAATATATAGATATTGCCCTCAAATGGGGGCGATATCTCTTATTATATGGCTTAGATAGTACGCGCGCTCTGATTGGCTTTTGACCAATCTCGAGCCCAGAGTCTTCACGGCTAATGTCAGCGGTATGCTGACGCCGGAAAGACTCTGGAGGAATCGACTGGATTTGCGATGCTTTTCCGTCGCAAATTATGCAAATTAGGTCAGTTTTGTTTTTGCCGCTTTAGAGCATCAAAATGATAAAAAAGAAGGAGGTTTAGCACACAACTTAGTTTAGTAACGGTAGTTACACCTTTTTTAAAAGCAAAAATGTGTGAAAAAAGGTGTTTTTATGCGATAAAAGTATGATATTTTTGACTAAACAGGCGAGCGCGCGCTGGCAACTTGAAAAACCGACTTGAAAACAATGCGCGCTCGCGTCATTTTCAACCAATCAGAAATCGAGAAAAAATGGATTCCTCCAGAGCCTCTCACGCAGTCATCCGCTGGATGGCAAAAGTGTGGGCTCTGGGTACGAGATTGGCTTTTGACAGATAATTACCGGTCGGAATTTCCCTGTAATGCCCGCTCACAGCGGTCATTACTTTTCGCGATTAGACCAGCTTTGACTTTGAGTAAGATGTAAGTAATTTTTTATTTGCAAATGAGAGACGACGAAAACTACAGTGAAAGTGAATTTATTTTACATGTAAGTTATCTTGACGAGATTAGTGCCGACAAAATGGCTACCAAACAGACGAAAACCATTATATTTTTAGTACCAAACCGACGAAAATGACGAAAATCATTATAGTTTTAGTAATTGTCCTCAAAAATACGGGAATAATGGCTCCTTATTTCATAGATTCAGTTAATTTTCATGCACAAATACATTATTACARTCTACTCACAAATTTTCAATGATTCTTYTATCGACAAGGCCGGTGTAGGTTTGTTTATTAATTCTTCGAAGTGGATGTCCCTCAATATAGAATTACAAGTTTCTTCTCTTTCTYCAGCAACCGAGGAGTTATTGCATTGAGTAATTGCAAAAGTAAACTTGATAGACGACGGTTATGTCCCACGAAGTGCTTGAAAGTTTGCCTGTTTTCAGCTGTTTTCACTGAAAAAGCTTGGCATTTGAACGAGTTCACACTGACTCAAAATTCCTTCAACTGGACTTCCAGGTTTTTGCTCTTTTTTCTAGTCAACGAGCTCATTGAATTTTTAAGAGGAGGATTTCATTCACAGCTTTTCTTGTCAAGACACCGGTTTGAATCCCGTCGGCTTTTCACTTTTGTTTAGAGTAGTCTGTAGAGGTAGTATGTTCTGGCTTCTTTTGAGCTTTTACATCTTAACATCGTTTTTTTCTTCCAATACAATCCTTTTTGAGCTATCTTTAAATTATGGTGTATACTTATCGAGCATTTCTAAGCTGTCATTAGACTACCTGTATGCTTGCCGTCCTCAAGTAACCAGTTGAGTCAACCACTTCCCTCGCCGTTCATACATCAAATCCAATTAAGTAGCATTTTCGGTGGAGCCAACATCAGCAAAATATCCGACTGTCCGTTCAAAATTTTCAAAGGAACAGTCAAGATCCAACAACGGAAAAAACGATGTTATATAATCGAGAATGACGATGAAAATTGAACATTCGCTAAAATCACTGGAAGGTCTGCACGTGTTGACGTTTTCAATYGTCTTAATTTTGACGTACTTTCCAACTATTTTTACAAACTTTTGGATGTTCTGAAACTTTTTAAGCTAAATTACCGTGTTTTGTGGAATAAAAACGGTTCTGTGACACAAATTGTGCTATTAAACACATTATCAAGCAAATTGTTATTATTATTAGTATTTTTTCGACACTGAACACGACATGACATTGAATGAACAAATGCGCGCGCAAGCGGAAGTGTTAAATCACTTCCGTTCTTATATTTTGTTCACGTTATATATTTTATTTATTTTTTATAAAGACAGCCAAATAATAAATAACTTATTAACCTCGTCCGTTCGGTCGCTCGGTCCATACTTCCAAGACCTCGGTCTGAGATTTCCCTGTAATGACCTCACTCTCGGTTAATAAGTAGCATATATCCCTGAAAGTGATATCTAAAAAAGAGTAGGAGTGTTTTATCGTGAGATATAAACACGACATGAACACGAGGCCGAAGGCCGAGTGTTTAAATCCAGGATAAAACACGAACTACTAGTTTTTTAAATGACTTCTAAAAMCCAAACCTAAGAAACTACAATAAACATGAAATAAATAAAAAAATATCAAAAATGAATAATTGATGAAGATATCTCCATMTGAGCATGAGCAGTAATCAACTTGGTTTCAAACATCCAAGCGCCACTATGTTTTAGTGTACTGTGACTCTGCAAAAAAGTAATTTTAACTCGAGACCTAGTGAAGTTCTATGATGAGAGTCTAAAACTGAGAACTTTTCTAGTGTTGGGCACACATCGAGTGTCTGTAAATCAGTTACAACACTGATGTTTTATTCATGAGTGTTATAACTAACTGAACCAGTTAGTTATAAAACTCACGTTTAATTAATCAGTGTTTATAACTTGAGTTATAGATTCTGTCATGTAACCCATAGTTGAATGCTCATTGGAAGAATGTCTAATAAATAATTCATGAGTTTTAGAAATCCCGATAAAGCACTGATGTTTTATTATGGTATTTTAAACAATGATCATCAGTTGATATTGTGATCTTTTGTTTATACTTGTACATTTCTAAGGAATTTAAAAGGTCTGACATTGTTTACACTAAATAGCGTAGACTTGATATTTCGTTCGTATTTCCCGCTATTTACCACTGCGCGCAAGGCGCCAGAAAAAAACGCCAAAATTAAAGCAGTCCCAGTCTGAAAGCCACGTTTCTAAGGTTTATTTTGGTACCAAACATGGCGTATAAAATGAAAAGAAAATGGAAGATCGAGGCCAATTATTTGCGTGAAACACGCGTCTTCGCCAGCCATTTCAGCGTCAAGTTAGTGTTTTCAAATTGTGCGATTTCTAGTACCATAAATGACGCTGTTGATCGTCTTCGAAATAGCTGAAAATCGCTGTGTTCCTACCTCAATATGTGGACTTTGAGAAATGATCTATGGAATATCAGTGACATGTAAAGGAACACGATCAGCTACGGTGAAATTTCGCTTCTTTGCGAATTTTCACCATGAGATACAAGGCCAAAGGGAGACGACGAAAGGAAAATAAATTGTCAAAAAGGACGCTGTTAACAATATTGGATTTATTTGGATTTCCTACATTGGAATCAAGAATAGTTTCCCTCTACGAATTCATCTATGGAATCTTTCCAGTTAAAACAGATGAAATGTTATTCTCAAATATTTTTTTTKATCCATACATTTCTTTGTAAAATTTACAAACATGTTTTTATGCATTTATGCGAAGTACCGCTGCGATTGCGGGCTCAAATGTCCAGATTTTCTGGCCATGTCATCCGTGTGCATGGATCAAAATTCTTTCCATTGTGGCCCAATGCACATGCTCATTAGAACTTTGATATGCATTATCACTGTTTTCGCATTTTTTAATTAGCTTTTTTTCTAAAATAATTATTCATAACAATTTCGGCTCGAATCTATATCCCGATAAAACACGCACTCTCGTTCTATGAATAACACCTACAAACGGTAACTTAGTGTATACAGAAGCTCAGAGCGAGCGATAAGGAATCAATGCCGACCTAGACTTGTCTTGATCCGTTGACCTTAATGAGTTGCAATGGTGCAAGGAAAAAAGGATGTCTGAAACCTAGCAAAGATATTGTCACATAAGAAAGGCGACGTCTGAAGGCAACCCTCACGCAGCCATTCTCTTCCACAACTACCATTTTACCATTCGATGTTTACTCATCTTTTTTGCAATAATTTAGGTTAATCGTCCAGGAATGTATTCCATTGCTGCAACTTGTAAAGATGGATGTGAAGTATGGTGGAAGAGGGTCGAGGAGCAAGGTCTTGATGATGATGGGTCAACTGCAAGTATGATCATCAAGCTAAAGTCAACTTTAATACCAAATGCGTACGAGCGGTAGGTGATATTGTATCGTTTGTTTTGAACATACAGTTAGACTACAGTAGTTTTACCAAAATTTACTTACAAAATTAACAAGAATGAAACAGGTATCTACAAGCATGTCAAAACAAAGTGTGATGCAAAATTAACTTAAACATTGTGTAAGTAGAAAAACGGGGATGTGTAGTTTTGTGAAATACTTTATGATCCACTGAATTAATGCAGAACCGGTCTGCCATCACGAAGTTGGAACAGATAAGGTTAAAAGACCGTATACAATCATTGTAATGCCGTTGTAATATAGATATGGAATTTTATTCTCAAACTGCTGGGAGCACAAATTAAAGTTCTCTGGCGCATGAACATAAATATTTTTTCTTTTCCTTTTTTTCGCAGAAGTGGTTTAAGTTAGCAAGTTATCATATGATATCATGCCCTAAGCACAATAGCTTGAATATGCTAATTTTGTAATTTGTTTTTTAAAAGAAGCCCGATATACTTTTAACAAATTTATGCTTTTTTTCGTTATATGACTTCTTATTTTACACAATTGTGCCATTAATTGTCAAAATTTTAGCATTCACGAATCGATCAAGTACTAGTTTTCTAACGATATTTAGATAACGATAATTAGATAACTTAGATAACGACCCCAGAAGAAAAGAGCATTATTGCGACAGTAATAGGATATATATTTTTACTTACCATGGAAATCATTCAGAAATAGAGAAACTTAATTCTGGTAAAAACATAACGAATATGTTCTTTCTGAGTGTACAATTATTTTGCTGTAGAAGTCCTGAGCAAATCAAAAGCATGCATATTGGATGCCATTTCTACCATCTTGAAGTTTACACCAGYTTATTGTACGAGCTAAATATGAATAAGTTCACAAATCTGGCAATACGATCTCACGATGATGGTCGTTGGTCCGCTCCTATACCAAGCAAATTTTTGTACTGGTACCGCCCAGGTTAGTAATAACTGATAACACGGTATAAAGCAAGATTTTCTTCACCCCCCACCGTCGTCTTTGATTTTACTCCTGCATGCTGACAGTTTTTATAATTAATTTTCTAGGAGAAAGGAAACTTTATTTCAATGTGACAAACAGCATTAGCTCTCGCGTAAATCTTGGTTCGCAACTTTTAATAGAAGGTGATGTCCCGCGGTGTTTATCAATTTGTCTTGTATAAAGAATAAATGTGAATGTCATTGTTACTTTTGTTGAAAATAGTCTTATTCTACCGCAGCATCAACATAAATTTTCGCACAGAAGCCATGCATTATCATTGTCAACTGACATGGGACATTGACATTTATTATATAGGTGAATTCTAACACGCGCTCTGATTGGCCAAAAAAGTGTGGTTTATGAGAGTATAAACCACGGCTGAGCCTTATTTATTTGTTGAGTAATTGTACATCTTCTTTATTGTTGTTGCAATAGGCATAATATATTCACCGCAAATCATAAAACCCGCCTTCATGTAAATGAGCTATAATCATGCGTACACCTTTTTCATTTTTTTCAGCTTTGTACAAGTTTTGCTGTGTTGGTGTGAAATGTCCATCTTGCCCATTGACTCTTTACCTTAATGCCCTTGGACATAGCATATTGGTGAATAGAAGCTTACAAATGAACTGTGTGCAATTATACCATTGATGTTATACAACAGCCCAATAATTACTCTATAGAGGTATATCTACTTAAAGACATATTATACTATAGTGTACTTTGATGTAGTTTTGGAAGCACATAACTACAACGATTGGCAATCATTTGTGTTGTGGTTACGTGGGCGTGGCACGCGCCACAGAATAAATGAATGTTTGGAAYGAATACAACAACTTATACCTCATTTTGAAATGTAAGACTTTCATACTAAAAAGACTTTCTTCAAGAAAAACACGTGTCCTTCTCTTCGATATTTTATTGAATAAATCACTGGCTACCAGTGGGTAAACTACCCCAGGGCTACCAGATAGGAAAACGGCACGTGACATTCCTTCTTGGAATGATGTTCTCACGCGCAAAGTCCTCGTTTGTATCTTCTCCCCTCAACTCATATCTAATAGTCATATACAATTAATTTAGTGTTCACCCTCTTATAATCTTAAAAACTCGAATCTTTGTATTCCTCAAAAATGTATGTATTTTATGGTAGGATGTTGCATGTAAGAAATGATTTGCATTCTCTGCATTTAAATATATTCTTGAATAGACTGACGAAATACACCTGTATTTATCAGATAAGCTACTATTTAAATGGAGATAAAGGGACAGATAAAGAAACGTACAATTGTCAAGACTGTTCAAGTTTCTGGTAAGATAATTAAAAATGGTTTCAGGGTCGCTACTTTAATTTCGTTGCAATGAGACTTATCCAAACAAAACTTCAAAACTACATTAACAATAGATTGCTTTCAATCGGAAGATATCAAATTATGCTCATATATATAGCGTGTAGAGCAGAACTAGGAAGATTTCCATAAAACATTTTTATTGACAAGCTTTCAATGAGCTATTATAATTGATAAATTAAACGAGACTTACCTGTAAGTTGAGATAGCAAGCATAGTGTATCCGAGCTCAGTCTTTAAAGGGATTTTGAGGTGACTTTGGAAGATGAGGTGGTCATAGCAATCTTCGAAGGGAGTATGGGTAGGGAGGGATGTGACCTCCTCATTTCTGCAAANTTGTACTGACATATTGTCCAAGGATAACATCTGTAGTGTCTGTGTCCGTTGTGCTGATACCAATGCCATTATCATAACCAATTTAAGTGTAAGGGCTTTTAGTGTTAAATCTTCCTCAGCTGGGAAGGTCTTTAAGTAGTCAAGTACTTGTTGAGGATCCCAGGTCTCAACATATCTGGGTAAAGCAGGCTTAATATTGAACAGCCCCGACATGAACCTTGAAACAAGAGGGTGACTTCCTACTTTCACACCATCAATTGTGATAAACGTAGAAAGTGCACTCCTTGCTGTACCTACAGCACTGTAACCAACTCTTTTGGACAGTTGGGACAGGAATTCCAGGACCTGTTGAAGGTTAGGGTGAAGTTGGTTGACATTCTGATCTTTGCAGAACTCAACCCATGATGCAACATATGTCTGATATTGCTTGTGAGTTCCTTTTCTCCATGACTGTAGTATGATATCAAGAGGTTGACCATGTATCCCTTGGTTGGTCAAGGCAGACTTGACACAAGACAACCAAGGAGTTGTAGCTTGGGRTACWGHRGGTGCACTTCCTTGGGGCTGTGAGGTAATGTTAATGTTTGTCTGTGATTTCTGATTTTTATTGGTTGATCTTGGAACATTTGAATTAGGCGTGGATACCAGAACTGTGTTTCCCAGATGGCCACTGTTTGGCTTGATTGTATTTTTTGTAACACTTTGCCTATTAGACTAAAAGGGGGAAAACAATATATCAGTTTATATTCTGACCAGTGTGATAGTGAATGCATCAATGGCTATTGCCCCTGGGTCTGGTTTCCATGCAATATATTTGTCAATTTTATGGTTAAATCTGGATGCAAACATATCTACATCAGGCATTCCCCATTTAGTTGCCAAGATATGAAAGGCAGCTGAATCAAGTGACCATTCAGTATTGCAATTAAATTCTCGGCTAGCTCTGTCAGCTTCTATGTTGAGTTTGCCTGGTAGATGTGATACAGATAATCTTAGGTTTCTTTTTCTACAGCATAGCAGGATTTCCCTTGTAATGCTATTACATTGAGGTGAATGTGTACCTCCCATATGATTGAGGTATGAGACTGCTGTGGTGTTATCASAAAGTATTTTAATRAMAGCATCATGATRATTACCACATAGTGCTTTCARTGATAACAGGATTGCTTTAATTTCTAGRTAATTTATATGACTTTGTGATTCTTCTGATGACCATCTGMCCCTTGCTATGGATGTAGTGCCATCAATTATGCCACCCCATCCATATGATGAGCTATCAGTTTTGAGAGTTAGAATA